GGAAAAGTTCTTCCCTCGTCTGCCGCCGTTGGCTCCGTGTTGAAGGCCAGAGTCGGCACCGTCTCTCGCTTAATGCACAATCGGAACTTGTCGCTGTGGTTCCTGTGATTTTTTCTAGGTTTGATTCGGTAACGAAACTCGCTTTGAAATGTGACCGTAGATCTGCGAGTATTGGGGACGAGGCGTTGGTGCTTATATCTTTAAGGTGCCGGAACCTAACTCGTTTGAAGCTCCGGTCATGCCGGGAGCTTACTGATACTGGAATGGAATCTTTTGCGAAGAATTGTAAGGGTTTGAAGAAGCTATCTTGTGGATCTTGTGCTTTTGGAGCTAAAGGGATGAACGCCGTGTTGAATAACTGCTCGGCTCTGGAAGAGTTGTCCGTGAAACGGCTGCGTGGTATCACAGATGGGGCTGCAGCTGAGCCCATTGGTCCTGGTGTTGCAGGGGGTTCTCTGAGAGTTATTTGCCTTAAGGAACTCTACAATGGTCAGTGTTTTGGACCGTTGATTATTGGATCGAAGAGTTTGCGGACGCTGAAGCTTTTCCGTTGTTCTGGAGATTGGGATAAGATTCTGGAAGTGATTGCTGAACAAGTCAGTAAACTTGTTGAAATTCATCTTGAGAGGCTTCAGGTCAGTGATACTGGTCTTGCTGCTATATCTAAATGTTCCATTCTTGAAATTCTGCACCTTGTGAAAACGCCTGAATGCACTAATAATGGTCTAAAGACTGTTGCTGAAAACTGTAAGCTTCTAAGGAAGCTCCACATTGATGGGTGGAAGACTAACAGGATAAGTGATGATGGGTTAATTGCTGTGGCAAAACATTGCCCTAATTTACAAGAATTGGTTTTAATAGGTGTGAATCCAACATGTGCTAGTTTGGAGAAGTTGGCTACGAATTGCTTGAATTTGGAGAGATTAGCTCTGTGTGGAAGTGAAACTGTTGGGGATCCAGAACTATCGTGCATAGCTGCGAAATGTATTGCATTAAGAAAACTTTGTATAAAGAGTTGCCCAGTATCCGATCAGGGTATGGAAGCGCTTGCTAGTGGATGCCCAAATTTGGTAAAAGTAAAGGTTAAGAAATGTAGATTGGTGACTTCTGGAAGTGCAGATTGGTTGCGGACAACTAGGGGTTCTGTTGCTGTGAACTTGGATACACCTGAACCTGAAAATCCTGATGCAAGTGCCAGTGATGGAGGTGTGCCTGAAGTTGGCAATGAAATTAGACAGGTGGCTGGCCAAGTAAGAGGTGTAAGTATTGCATCAAGCAGTACTGGGAGGTCAAATTCCTTTAAGGCCAGGCTAGGACTTACAACAGGAAGGAATCTGGTGGCTTGCACATTCAGAAGGTGGTCGAGCTTTGGTGGGAGTTCCAGTTCCAGAAATAATTAGTAAAAAAGGAGTTGACTGAGATCAATCTTATGCTCAAACATTCTGCTATTGAAGTTATTTGACTTTTATTACATTTATATATTCTTGAATTTGCATGCTAGTTAATGCAACTACAGATTCAGCCTTCATGGTTGGACCTTGTTCGTGAGTTTCCCTTCTTTTTGTTTTTGCTTATGTACAATCCCAGTGATGCTATTTTTGGGCTTGGTATGCTCCTTCACTTCTCCTGGGAGAGGACTCAACATGCTATCTTCTGAAAAAGAAAGAAAGGAGAAGGTTATAATCCAAGAAGTTGGTGATTTTGGAATGTGTTTACCAGTTTATGTTTTGCTAAGTTTTTCTGTATATATTTACTCCGTACGAAAGATTCAATATCGTTAACACATTCTTCTTGACTCATTAGGGGTTTGAATGGAGAACTGAGAAGAACCGAAGAAACTAGAAGTGTGCATAAATCATACTATTGCTTTCTCTTATACACTAGGATATGCAAGAAAGTCAAAATTTTGATTCTAAGTTCTAATCGTCCGTTACCTTTCTCAAATTCAAAAAAGTCCAGATTCTGATTCATACCGTTGCCTTTCTCAAACAGAAGAAAGTCCAGATTTTGATTCACTCCCATGTTATTAATTACAGGATAGCATCATGGAAAGTCAAATTGATTTTGAGTTCAAAGAAGATGTTACCAGCTAATTAGGGGAATCCACATTTCTTCCTCGAGTTTGATTAGGATCCCCTACCCTCCATTCTCTCAAGTACCTCTCCGCTTGCTTTGGGATCAACTTCACTAAACTTCTCTTATAAAAATTTATGATACCTTTCTAAAAAAAATACCTCTCATAAAGGTTCATTAGTCTTACAACTTGTTTGTTCCACGGCTTTTACCAATTAAACTTTGTACATTTTTTTATATTAAATCAGGTGTGTTTGGGACGTGCGCTTATCAGGAATCATTCTTGTATTTTTGGTGAATGTGGGGGGAAGTTAGCAGTAGTGTGATTCACCTGGTAAATGAAGAACATTGGTGAAAAGTCAGGCTTGCATAATCAAAGCTGCACCCCTAACTGAAATAGAAAGTGTTTCAAGGCTTCGATATGCTACAGTAAATGTTTAAATGCCATACAAGTCTGATTGTCTGAATCTTTCTATATCATTCTGTCAATGTGCTTATCTGATTTGGTTATCAAAAAAAAAAATAGTGCTTATTTGACTTGTATGACATTTAGGAAACATGTCGAGAACTAGAGCATGGATTTGTTTATGCTGAGAGCTAGAGTATAAATTGACTCTCTATTAGATCAAGAGATTGTTGAAGTCAAGGTATCGACCTTTAGATGTTAGGTTAATAAATAGTTACACCAAACTTTCTGGTTCATTGGTGTTGAGATGTGGATGTACTCTCCTAGAAGCTCTGCACTTCGCATAACTCTGGGTTTGGGGCCACAAATTAGTATTTGTGTGATACCATGTTGACTTAATTGTTTCTGTTCTATTTAAGAATCTTTTGTTGACTTCTTGTAATCAGAATGTAATTATGCCAAGCTTTGTCTTTCTAGTGTGGAGTCTTGAATAGGAATGGAGATCAAGGATGGTTATTGTAGTTATTTTTCGTACCAGTTCCTCTTGCGTTGTCCTTTAAGGCCAAAATTTAGTCATACTCCCCTTGAGGCCATTGCCCGCAGTTATTTAGCTACATCAAATAAATAAATCAGCTAACTTTATCAGAAAAAGATGACTGACCCTCATTTTAATAGGGTAAACACAACTTTATTTTTGGTCTTCTGCATGACTCTGAGGTCTGAACTGCATGCCTGATTTATTGGTGTCATGACCAGCTTATGTCCTTTAGTTGGTTTTGTATTAAGCCCTTCAGTTTACTTATGCTTTGTGTTCCTTTTACTGAATATTTTCTTTGAAAATCATATGAAGGCAATTGAAAATCCTTTGGAAAGTTGCATTGTCAGTGGTGAGTTGAATATTGTGTTTGGAGAATTGTATTCTTAGAGAGTAGGTATAACTATCAATACAAAGTTGCTCATTTAATTAGATGACGCCTGATGTTTGTGAACTGTATCTTGCTGTTTTCTTCATGCTTTGGTTAGTAGCAGGTATTGCAATGTTATCTTAAATTGTATGGTGTAATTTTGGATTCTTTACCATAGACAGGCTATAGCAGTAATATTTGCTTCTTTGAGAATGAATCATCAAATTTTGTTATCATCTTTTGTTGGTGAGTTGGTCTAACAAGCAAATCCTAGTTCATCATTCTATATGGATCCAGTGGACCGAACAAGCATGTCCTTTAGTTGATTTATGACTAACACAGTTAGAACTTCAGTTATGCTGCATGAAATGGTTATTGTATACACAGTCAGGGTTGTGGCAACTACTATAGAATTATCCTTTCAGTTACTGAAACATAACAATTATATGTTTCTCTTTTCTGAATGACGGGGTTCTGTAGATTTTGTTCACCACCAAATCCCAAACAATGGACACTGGCTATACCTGTGAGTTGCCATGATTGATGTTTTATGACTTGGAAAACTCACTCTTATCAGACACTGGGTTTAATTTTTGATCTGGTAGTAAAAACACAGACTTTGCTCATTTCGGTGTGTTGTTTTGGAAGGATTCTTTTGCTTCCTTTCTGTCTTGCTTGATGTAGTGATAATATTGTCGTTTTGAGAGTTTTCCTGTCTTGTATCGGTGATCAAAATTTCTTCAGTAGTTGTGGATCTTTTTTGTTTTCTGGCTATGCATACTTCATCTGGTAAGTGGTGTTATGGTGATTGGTTTGTAAGCTTTTGCTTGCTTGATAATGATTTTCTTTATGTTTAAAGATGTCTCGATTCAAGCTTTGAAACTGACAAAAGCTATGCTTCCGCGACGTCTGCAGGTTGTTTTTGGCTTCATGTGATGGTTACTGATGAGCGTTTGCTTTGTTTGTCAAACTCTTCCGTATACACTGAAATATTGTCAATCAAATTATGTCGATTAGTATTGGATCTGTTGACAATATTTTTGCCTTAAACTGCATCCATTGAGTGTATCAATCTAAAATGTAACGCTAGACGCTCATAGAACTTAAAGAGTCTGAACCAAGGGATACAGTTCGTCTTGCTGATCTGTAAGAATGTTTGTTCTAATCCCGCACCTATATGATCTAGTACAATGAAGTGGTAAATATCATAGAAACTAAAGTTCCCGTTTTGGTGGAGATGAATAATACTAGACGTCTTCTTTTCAAATATCTAACTTCGAGATGATAGAGTCCCCTAATACCTAAGGTATTCAGTAAAATAGTTGAGTTGCACTTAAGTTGGCATGAATACCACGGTAACTATAATATTCCATATTTAAAACCACTCTGAACAATCAACGTTTTATAACCTTCATATATGTAAACTATGTGTGTCATTATTACTCCTTAACAACACTATCTATCTCTATTACTATGAACACCATACTTGAATTGGATTTCCGATCCATTGATTAGTAGCACTTTTCGATCGATTCAACCTTAGAAGAATCCCTGTTACACTAATTTGATAATCATACTCATTTCCTCTATGATTTCAAACCGGTAGATTGTTCTTCTGCTGATTTTGTTTGCACTGGGTTCCAACATCACCTGGACAAATAGATAAATTTTGGTTGCGGTGAATTTCTTCAACATTTGGTTCTCTTAGGCATTTCAGACAACAGGTTCTATGCACAGAGAGGGATCGAGAATGAAGGAGGAGGTTTGCTCTTGTTTGCGAGCTCGACTTGTAGAATTCCTCATTCAATCAGCTCAAGACCTTCAAGTTTCTCCGATCGTCAAATACTCAGCACTGTCACTTTTCGCCGATCGATTCTACCCAGCTCTTACCGGGGAAGAAACTAAGGATGCTAAGAGCTGGCTCTTACGGCCTCTGAGAGAAAGCAATTTGCAGCTATTTGCGCTTGTTGCAATATGGATCTCAAGCAAAATACACGATTCTCCTTCCCTAAGTGTGAAATCCTTCAAGTCTCTGGCTGACATCACCATTAAAGAGCAGCATTTTACAACAAAGGATTTTCTGGAAGCTGAGCTAGTGTTAATGCAGGTATTGAAATTTGAGATCGGCATGTTAAGCATTCCCTTCCGATTCTTCGAAGATCTACTTACGAAGTTTAGTGAAGTTGCTAGAGTTGGAAAGCAATTAAGCTTGGAAGCTTGCATGGATATCATGGACCTGATATATGAAAAGGGGGAGATTTCATCTTTCAATTGTTCTTCTCATCATCTAGCCGCATCGATTGTTGTTGCTGCATATGCAATCACAGTTCCATTGCAAAAGAGTGAATTCCCCATTCTTGTATGGGTTAAGTTTGTCACTTCGTGCAGAGAGGAGGATATTGTAGACACTGTCAAAAATATTCTAATGCATGTGTTTGAAGCTTGAATTTTATTGTATTTCATGTAACAACAACATACCCAATGTAATCTCACAAGTAACGTTTGGAGAGGGGAATGTGTACCCAACCTTACCCCTACCTTGAAAGGTAGAGAGGTTGTTTGCGTCAGCTCAAGGGAAGGCATAGAAAAATAGTTTGCGAAAAAAAATACGATGAAAAAGCCACGGAAAAATACTTAAGATAACAACCACATTACATGACACTCATTCCATTTTGGACTTCTCAATCATTCCATTTATATACAACATTTAAACCATTTTATAATTCAAATTCATTGATTCCTGATGTCTTCTTTATCTGATTACTCTTCAATCACCACTTTAATATGCTTATTTCACAATAAATATAACTAAAAATGGGACAGGGAATGCAAATGTTATCAGCTGTTAAACTAGAATTATGGGCCTCTATTTTAAGTCCAGGTTAAGCCCAATAAAGCATTTCACTATCTGAAAAGCTATTTAATTGCTATAATTTGTTCGTCAAACAAGCTGATCTTATTTTTAATAAATAATTATTAATTTTATGCCTAGTAGGGTATGATTTGTTCATCAAATAAACTGATCTCAATTTTTATTCTTAATTATTAAATTTATGGCTAGTGGAGTATATACTTTTTAAAGACATGTAATATAATTTGTGAAGTATTATAATATAAAAATAAATATTTATATCAAGGGATAAAAATTAAATAACAGCATAAAATAAAACAGAAAAAACAAATGACCTGTTTAAAGCACATCCGGACTTGTTCAACTTCCCCTCATTGCTCTCGCAGTCTTTCTCAGATACCATAAATTCCTAATTCCTTCAAGAAAAACAAAAGAGTAAAAAATAAAAAAAAATAAAAAAAATGGACGTCGGTGGCGGAGCAGTCGCCGGCGACGGTGCCTCTTCTACTTCCTCCGCCGTGTCTCAGTGGACCTTCACCTTATCACAGCGATTTCAACACCTTTTGGATAAATCGACACCTCACGTCCTTTATCGGTGGATCTTCTTCGCTACGATCGCTTTCATCTTTGCTATTCGTGTGTTCATGGTTCAAGGTTTCTACATCATCACATATGCCCTAGGAATCTACATAATCCAGCTCCTTATTGCTTTCCTTTCCCCTCAAGTCGATCCGGAAGTTGACGGTCCTACCCTTCCCACTCGCGGATCCGATGAGTTTCGCCCTTTCGTTCGTCGCCTTCCTGAATTTAAATTCTGGTGCTTCATCCATCTCACTCGTTTATGTGCCAATTTACATATCTTTTTTTTGCTTACTTGTAAGTTTAGATTTGTTTGATATGCATCTGCTTTGCGATCTCATTATGTAGTTTGATTTTCATCTAGTTTCTGATTTTTGACTTTGACGTGAATAGAAATCAAATCTGATGGTTATTTTTGGTAGGAAATCAAATCTGATGCTAAGATTTGTTGTAGTCAAGGTGTGGATTGCTTTAAAAAGTCAGATTTATATTTTTGGGATTCTGATGATTATGTTCTAAATTAAGAATTCGCATTTTCAAATAAGAATTTGTGCATTCCACTGCATAGTTATTTTTAGAATCTGCTGAGAAGTGTTGTTAGTTGATGAGTTTAGTCATGTTGTTGCATATTCATGGTTATGGAAGTTTATTCCCTGCTGAAAAAAAATTCTGATCTGTTTGCTAATTGCTACCTATTCCTGCCTTCACATGATGATCTAGGATCTGATAAAGAATAGAAGATTCAGAGTGGAAAGAAGGAAAACTACTTTTCTTAAACTATTTTGTAGTATGACCTTAGCCAAACTTAAGACACACAGTGCTTGGAGGAATTAGCTTGAGACCAAATGGGGCATCAAGTTAACATTTTTTTTTTTGTTTTGACCTGGTATTTCTTCATTTTTTTTCAGTGGTGCCTTTGACCTTCCACTCTATTAATATGCAACATTGGTTGATTTATTCAGCATTTGAACCTACTAACTCCATCGATCCAGATTTGTATCGTATAACTAAAGAGGACCCTCTAACATGAGTTTCTCCATCATGCAGCATGTTATGTGTGAGATTGAGATAGATAGCTTGGGATGTCTGATTTCATTAAATTCAATCAGTACAAGTTATCGGAAGAGTCTCTCAAAGCTCAAAAGCATGAAAATGTGTTGCATCCCTTGTACAAAAAAAGGGTGAAAATATGATGCATCCTTATTCTGCCCTAGAACTCTTTTCCTAGCTTCAGTTATGGATCTAATAATCATGTCATGACAGGATAATAGATTAATAGTATCACAATTAGCTGTTTTGTACTGCCTACCTAACTTTGATAGATAGGAAAATCCTACTTACAAAAAAATGAAATAAATGGATAGAAAACTCACGTATTATTACTGATAAAAATCATGTGTTGATTGCACTGAGCATGAAGCAATTACATAGGGCTTGGTTAGATCTGTTTACTGAATTGGCTGTATAAATAATGTCATTTGTTTTATTCATCAACTGAACTTGTTTCTCCACCGTTTATTTTTTTAATAAAAATCCTCGTGTTGCCTACCATATCTTTCTTTATTTTCAAGATATTTTAAATTTAATGACGGAATGAGCTTTTTTTCCTTGCTATGTCTTTTTGCTGGAGTTGAATTGAACTCATGTAACTAGGACAAATGCTTCTTATTAGCATGAGGTGATTTAATGGGGAAGTTCTGTGATTATATGGGGTAACTTAGGTGATTTTATTTGGAAGCTCCCCGTTATATGGGACAACTTATCTTAATCAGTTAATAAATGTAGATAGTATTCAAGAAGTGTTGTCCTGATCATGGGATTATGTTGGTCCATTCCTGCTATTAGGTTATATAGGTTTTTATGGTACAATTTTGTCAATGTTTTTCAGTGAGGCAGTACCATAGTCCTTGGCTTTTGTTTTATGATGTGGCCATCCCCGACTGAACACTTATAGTGGCTCCTGTGTCAGTCTCTTTCATTCCTCTCGTTAGACCGTCTATAGCACTCATAGCTACTGCCCTAACTCGATTATTTCCTAATAATTGATGTTCCTCTTAAGCCACATTAATTGGTTGACCAGCACTATCATGATGGCAGTGTGTCAATCAATCATTATAAGTTTCTACAGGTTGGAAATGTCCTAATTCAAACTGTCCTCATGTTTTCAAAATTAGTTTATGTTTTTCAAAATGTTCAGATCGTCTGGAAGAAGAAAAGTAAACTTGGTGACCAGCTTCTGATCAGACATGCTGATCACCAAGTCTATTTGGTTCCCAGCTAGTAGTTCTTTGTCTCCCAGTAATGGTTCCTGATCTTGATGTTTGTAATAGTTTTAGTAGCCGTGATGAATATGAATTGTTGACCTTGAGCTTTTGTGATATGCTTCAGCCAGTGCAAGCAGAGAGCAGACTCCTTCTCACCTTCCTCCTTTACACACTCTTAGTTATCTGAATTTTCTTATTTCACAATATCTTTAGGTGCTTTATTATTATAAAATGATTCTTGGTTACTTTCCACTTGCACATGTACTAGGTAACCTTGCCCACCAAGGCTAAGGTGGATGGTATTTGAACCCTAATCTCCAAGGTTTGCACCTACTTCATTGACCACTAGCCCACACCCTTGGGTGCGTTGCACTCCAAGGATTCCCATTGAAGTCAATCACTTAATCATATAGCAGAACTTTTTCATTGTGCACTTCATTTATTTGCCTATACTTCTGTTAGTCGTAGTCATCATCCAAATTTTGTTGGCAATATCATCTTCTTGAATTAGTAGTTTGGCATAATTTACTTTAACTTGGCAGGTACTCACTATCAAAAGCAGTCTGCATTGCTTTTGTGTTGACATTCTTCAGTGCCTTTGATGTGCCTGTATTTTGGCCAATTTTGTTATTCTATTGGTTGGTACTGTTTGTTTCAACGATGAAGAGGCAAATAATGCACATGGTCAAATATAAATATGTGCCCTTCACATTTGGCAAGCAGGTACATATAAAATTTAGCTCCTATTACATTGGTATCTTTTCACATTATCCAGCCTGCATTATCTCTGAAAATGATTGGATATACTTCTTTTCTACAGCGTTACGGGAAGAAAGCGCCATCAACTGATGAGAGAAGTGTTTCCAAACCTTGAGGTTCAAAGCAGATTGAGCTTTTTATGGTGGGGAATGAATTTGTTTTAGATACAAATTCGCCTAGATGGCTGTATTTTTCACCGGATGGGTTTCTGAGCTTGGGTTATGTCATTGAATATATGATTATTAATGAATTCTTAGATTATAAAACTTAGTTCTCCTAGAAGCTGCCACGCATCTTGATTCTTTCGTTTATCTGTAAGCTAGCCTCTGGATGTCAATATTCATTTTCTGAGCTCATTCTTGAACCGCTCTTATTCAATTCAACCTTAGTAGTTTCTAACAGGTTGCACATCCCTGTTGAAGTTCTTGTGAAATTGTCAATTAGTGCTGCATATAAATTTTTGCCTATAAATTGCCATGCACCATAGAGCAGTGAAAACTAATCTTTCAAGGGTTGAGGCCCTATATACCATTTCTCATTTTGATTTATCTCTAGTAGAAGATATTTTCTTGATCACTATTGAACTGCTGGTAACCATAGGATTTCTGCTGGTCGTAATCTGTGTTAGTGTAACGAAAATGAAATCTATCACTATGATGCAGCACTTTTATACGATGGAAAAGGATGGTATAAGCATATAATTTTTTGAGTTTTACTGTTGGAGATTAGAATCAATTTTAGGGGCATGAATAGAGGTTGTCATTGGAATCTTTTATCCTGGAAAGATAAGGAAAGATAGGACAATTATTATGTGAGGGGCTTGGAGAGTCACAAAGTCTGTAGACCTGTCTTCCATGTGATACGCGCTGTTCTCAAGTCGATGGTTATTTTTCAATTACATGGTCGAAAAGTAGCTGCTTGTGAATTTTATCCCATTTATAATATACTTAGGTCTTCAGTTTTGAGGATAAGTCAAAAATATGATTCTAAACTTGAGCAGACTGGATAATATTTGATCTTGATATGCATTCATCCAACCCAGTATGATTTGAGTATAAAATTCTCTACATTTGGTACATAACATTATTGTAGAAGGGAAGCCTAGTAGTCTGTACAGTGATGCAATGTATAAAATGAATGGTTGCATTTAAACGGGGAAATGGGTCACTTTCAGCTTAGTTCATTATGAATGTAATGCCAATTACTTTAGAAGATTGGTGGAGGACCACCATTTATTTTGCCAGACTCTATCCCAAGTACAAATCTTGGGAATCTTTTGGTTCTTCTTTTGGGGGTTGCCAATTTATACAGATGATTTACTGATATTATTAATCTTAAAAAGGGGATTGCATTGTGATCATATGCTTACTCATTTGTGTAAGCGGAGTTCAATAACGCTTAGTGAAAGATGTTTAACATCATTGGACAAAGCTATATCGGCTACCTATGCTAGTGTGAGGCGGTAGGTATTCAATATAATAATTAAAGTGCACACAAGTTGAAGGGCATTGCAGAAAGGGGTCCCTCAACTTTGGAGATGAATAAAATGCCTCTATTGATATCTCAAAAAGAAGGAGACGGTAGGTTTGTGGTCTATAGGTAAAGGAACAAAAAGTTGGTTAAGTATTCATTGCTAAGTAATAGTAGTACATAGCAGTTAACTTCATAACCCAACAATCTACTAACTACTATATAACATAAAAAGGTACAGTATTATAAAACTTATTTGAATGCAATTACCTAGCATAAGGATAAGATACGACAAAGCCAATTTTTTTGTAAGCTAATTTGTTTAGTCTCTAGATATGCGGGAATATAAAGCAGTGGAATGCTTAAACATTTCCCTTTTTGGAAGAATTGCTTGACAATCGCTGATGTAGAGTTGGTGTTAAGGCGAAGTCCCCGGGATTGCAATCCTGGAATTTTTTTAAAAAAATTGATAAAACGGGCCGTTTTATTTTCAGCTGTCAGTTCTGTCACAAAAATGACAGTCCTTGCATCCATCACTAACAGTGTAAATGAGCCTATCATATCCTCTGTTAGAAAGTCAGTCTGGTGCTCGAAGTATTTCGTGTTCATGCAGGATTCAGTGAAGGACTATACCATGGTTAAAATGCACAATGCACGAAGAAGTAAAGGGGATTCAACATATATAATGTATTTACTCTGATACGCATCGAACAAAATACTTATCTACACAGTACTATTTTTCAGCGAAAGGGTGGCCCCCCACTGGGCACTGGCTATAATGTAAGCGGTATACTCTGACTTAAAGCCTACATGATTGATTTCACAACTCAAACTCGTGACCATACGAAGACAACTTTATTGTTAACCCGAAATAAATATTGTGTATATAAAAACAAAGAAAAACAGTTGTAAGTAAGATGTTTCACTTAAATTCATCAATTTCCTTCACACACTCATACTATAGGCAATAAAAATTCATCTTTTTTTCTCTCAACAACTTTTGTGATTTGAAGTAAAACACCGTGCAGCTTTATGTTCTTTTTGTTTCTCTACAACAAAAAAAAAGAAAATGGAAGGTGGACTCCCCATGCTAAATTGTCTGTTACAACACACACTTAGAAGTCTCTGTACTTGCTCTGACTCTTCTTCTAATGCTTCTGAGTGGGTCTATGCTGTTTTCTGGAGAATTATCCCAAGAAATTACCCTCCGCCTAAGTAAGCACATTTTAATAATCAAAATTTGAACATTACTAATTACACAAGAAGAATAGTGTTAGTGAATTGTTCTTGATTTTTTGTTGCAGATGGGATCATGGAGGAGGCTTGCTCGATCGCGCTAAAGGAAACAAGAGAAACTGGTAATGATATTAGTACTAGGAGTATTTGTTTTTGTAAATTGGAGTTACGGGACAGTCAACCAACTGAGCTACTAAGAGTCACCTGTACTAAGCAGTATTTGTGATTTTAGTTTGTGGACTAATAATTTGAGTTGATTTTATTTCAGGATTCTTGTTTGGGAAGATGGTTTTTGTGACTTTTATGAATGTGAAAGATCGAAAAGGGAATATGTAACGATAAATTTTGGTCCTGAAATCTTCTTCAAAATGTCTCATGAGGTTTATTCATTTGGTGAAGGGTGAGATATTTCATTTTCTTGTTTAAAAAGTAGAATGAGCTGCAATTCCCTAAGCACATGTATTAAACTATAATTTTCAGATTGGTGGGCAAAGTTGCAGCAGATAATAGTCACAGATGGGTGTTTAAAGATGCCCCAAATGAAAAAGATTCAAACTTTATTTGCTCATGGAATATGTCCATTGAAGCTGTAAGCACTAGTAGTTCTCATTTCCTCTTCACCAATGGCGAATTCAAGATTTAAACTTTTAGTATTTATTTCGCGTTTAGTGATTTTTCACATATATATCTACGTCCCTGTCAAAAATATTGAGTTCAGATGAACCGGCTCAACTCGCTCTCCCTCCTTTTACAATCCTTATGAGTTTTGTGTTTGCTTTTTTTTGCCAGCAACCAAGAGCCTGGGGAGTTCAGTTTAATTCAGGCATTCAGGTAATGAAAGTTCAGCTAATGAGAAAAATATTATTACTCTTTATGTCATTTCAAAGATTTTAATTTAAGAAAGTTCTGTTATTTTGGCAGACTATTGCTATTATATCTGTTAGGGAAGGCATAATTCAGCTTGGCTCATTTAATAAGGTGTCTCTCGTCTCGTATCTATTGCTACTTGACGCGATTTCTTCCTTCTTAACGCTACTTAATCCTACGCCATTCATGTGTTTTCACTGATAACTGGTTCATATGACTACTTGTAGGTATTTGAAGATCATAATCTAGTATTAAGCATTCAGAGGAAATTCAGCTACCTTCAGAGCATACCGGGCATTTATGCAATTCAGAGACCTTTTTTGCCAATCAAACATCCATATACTTACAAGCCAAACAATGTCACTCTAGTTAACGAGACGGATTATCAAATGGATGACAAAAACCAGCTAATTGGGTCGAAAAGAGTTCATGAGTTTCCGTTCAAGTCTATTAACTTTGGCTATAATAGCCCACAAACCATGGCTAGTCTACCTTTGTGGTCGATGCCTATAGCAGCACCATCTTGTTATGGTAATGCAGTACATGAGATGAGTTCTTTACACGACAGAGTTACGAGGAACACTACAAGCAAGGATGTCAAGGTTATCGATGAATTAGGCCATTTTAAGTTTGAGACAGCTGAGGAAAATGACCAATTTTCCTTAAACCAGAACTTAGGCCTGGAAAATAAGGTAGTTGAGGTTGGTTTTAGACAGTTGGGAAAAGGAGGGGCTGCTCCAAATCCAAATTAATTGCAGTTTAGTGCAAGTAACAAACTGCAATGGGGTTTAATTACATAGGGACCTTTTGGTGGTTGTTAATTAGCTTGAACTTGTTGATAAAGTATTGAGTAATTTGTTTGTATGGTATTGACATAGTAATCTTTAACAATTTGTTCTGTTCATATTATTTATTGGATATACATTTTCTAAGAATTGGGAACATATTGTTTGGATTTACTTTTTTAGTGGAGACGGATCTACAGGGTAATTTATCGATTCACGTGAACTCAATAACTCTTATCATGTATTAAGAAATCCCGTGGATAGCTATAAATATTTGAATGTGAACTCAATTATTATGTATATATTAACTTGAGGCCATTGTAGGCTTATGTCATTGTCTTTTTACATAAGTTGGTCATCTCTCTACCAGGTTCTCTCTACCTCATACATCACTCGTAGAATCACACTGAATATGTCATTGTTTTTTGTTGTTTGCCATTGTGCACCACTTTCGAACTGTAGAGTCGAAGGAGCCAGGATTTGAAGTTTATGACTTTATGAGTTCGGGAAGTAAGGTAAAGGAAGAAAATTATTGTCCTTTGAAAGAGTTTTCATAAATGATTGTCACCTAGTATCTTTCCATTCAAGAATTTAATTACTACATATCACATCACTGGTTAGATCAGCTCGATGTTGATCTTTGCCCTACTTGTTAGTTGTTTCCCACTTTTCTAATTAAAATGAAAAAACAGTTACACCAAATTATTAAAAAGGACCAGCTCTGGACCAATGCATTCACTAAATATGTTAGTACTCCCTCCGTTCCGTCTCATATTAGTTGTCCACTTTCATCTTTACACGTCTCTTATGAAACTATAAATAAGGACAGTTTTACTGATTTGAAACGCTAGGAGGACAATTAATAAAGATTAGGGTAGCAAGGTTGAAGATTAGATTCCACATTTAGGAAGTAATTATGATATATGAGTGTTAATCTTGGAAAGTAATTAAAACAATCAAAAATAGACAGACAAAGCAAAGAAAATTGTAGCACAAAGACAGTATGGATGGTCCCTAGCCTTGATATTTTTTCCTTTTTACTATTTTGGGGACAAGATGCTAATTATATTCCATGAAAATGTGAGTACAGATTTAATAATACGTGTTGTTTTATATATGCTCTTTCAAAGGGTCCCTACATTACGGAAACGTTACTCCCTTAGAGAGTGCATAATTAGAGTACAGTTTAAAGGTTCGATCGAATCAAGTATTGAAAACAAATTTTCACTGAAATACTGGAAAACTTTCTAATTTTTCATATTAAAAAACTTCTATTTTTATTTTATTTTTCACTGATTCAATCAAAATATCTATGGAAATAATTATTGAACATTTTGCAGTGATAGTGATTTTTTAGTAATGGTAGATCTAATCCGAATATGTATTTCTTAAAAAAATTAATTAAATATATTATATATATACAAATTATTCATTTAGTATCCGATAATTTAAAAGAACTAGAATCTTAAACCATAAATTTCAAATTCTAACTCGACTTTCATAATTCAGGTTCAAAATATCAGTATATTATGTAACTTGTACCATTACGAATAATTTTGTATCAAAAGGAACAATCTTAACAGAGAAAAAGTGGAGTGGGACCTACATTGCACGGACCTCTAAAAAATTGTTGTTACACTCGTGTCGTATCTTTTAAAAAATGCTCTACTTTTTTGGACAATTTGACACATACTTGATGACATTTTTGGAGGGTTCGAGCAACATAGACTGAGACTACTAGCTACTCATATGATAAATCTTGTTGGAATCAAATTTAAGAGATTGAAATTTGGTGTTGAGAAATGCCTGAGCCATCATATTACCAAGTTGGATTTGGCCTTGAGTTGTGAGATGAAGCCCATCTGATTCCACTGGTAGACCATTAGCATCTACTTTTATTACATTTGGAAGATCAATATCCATCTGTGCTTGTCTCACTACATTTACAAATTTAAATTTTCTATCAAATGGTTTTTTTGGATAACGTAGAACAACCTGCAAAAAATAAGTGTTTTAGTTTACTTCTCTACAAAAAAAAAATGCAGATTATAACCAATTGAAATACAATGGTAGTGTAAGAATTATTCACCATGTTATTGCTTATAGGTTTAAGAAAATTGAAAAGGAATTCTAGTTGTTTCGATTGAGTTTAAGTTATGTACGTTAACAGTATATATGTTGTTTACATCATTGGGTGAAATTGAACTAGAACAATCGATAACTCTTCATATCATTTATCAAGACTTTTCATATGATAGACTAGAAAAATAGGTAACTCTGAAAAATGAGAACCACAAAAATAGAGCGAGAACATGTTATATCTAAGCTAAATAGCATAGATAATATAAAATAATTACACAGTCAATATATATAACCTAAATCCGTGTTAACTAATAAGGATTATCATCTTACACAAAAAACATTTGAAAGAGAAAACTAGAACAATAATGTTTTCCAATTGATACTTATACCTTCACTAAAGCTAAGAATTTGTTCAAAAGCATGTATAGGTTCAATTCTTCAAGAAATGTTGCAACTTGCAAGCACAATAATAGAATGAAACCTAACTATACTACACAAATAACAGGAATTAGCTATGAAATTCATCGCTAAAATAGCCAGTAGCTAACATGATTTTTTGATTACCCTTCACAAATTTGTCGTTAAATATGATTATGGAGGTTTTGTTGTTGTTTAGCGACAGAAGTTGTCATGAACCAAAATAGTAAAAGAAGTATATATTGTTTACCACAATAACAGGAAGCAGAGGAGAATTCAAGTCATCGCGTAAATCTTGAATGAACTTTATCACTTTGGCTTTATAATATCTTGCTGTATACTTATCCTTTGTATCACTTTCACCATGAAACCACAATAATCCTCTAATTGTTCCTCCATGTTTTAGAGAAAACTTAGCTCTACTTATCAATTGATCATAAGGCATATTTCCACGAATCCACGCATGAATTCCAGTACCTGATTTAGAACATGGCACTAAACCAATAACTCCAAAATTTGGATCTTGTTTAAGAATTGCATTAGCAAATGCCATTCCAGGACCAACTCCACAATTATGAAGACAATCAACCGCGTAATTAAGAGGTTCATGTGCAATTTCCCACTTGATAGTTACACTTAATCGAAGAATATTGTTTGGATTAGGTTGACATTCACGAGGTATTATACCATCCCATGTAAAGTTGTGTACACCTCCTTGCCCTGCCATGTTGCTTTGTCCTGCTAATATGAATATTTGTTTGTTCAATTTGTCTGTGCTTCGATTTGTAATTAGTAGATGATGTTGATAGTTATGACTTGTAATCCACCTTAAGTAAAACAGAAGAAAAACAAACATCAACATTAACAATATTTCTTCAGATGCATATTGTAACTTCTTGATGAAATTGAACAATATCGACTTCATCTTCATCTTCATTTTCGATATTGTCCCAGCTAGAGTTGTACTTGTTCAATTGTTCTTGTGGTGGAAGAAGCAAGAATAATCACCAGACATTAATTAGAAAATCCATAATTAAAGAAAAAAAATTACTAGCAAAATGCTAAATAGAAATGTCTATATGTGATTTGGTTATTAATGGAACTTTTTCTCTAGATGGAATAATCTGATCAATATGCATTAACATATGTAGGCTTCATGCTCAGAGGATAAATTAGTGCATGAACCATAAATTTTCCAAATTAAGAGGATACTTGCATCTTTTATTATAGGATAGGCGGATGAAGCGTTACCGCACCTAGTTCATCTGAAATTTAGTACTTTTGACGTGAAACATAACTTTATGCATAAAAATTTAGTACTAAAATTGGAACCTACTATTTTGAAAATATGATCATTCTAAAAATTTTACGGATTAAATTCATAGAGCTTAAATCCTGGATCAGTTTACACTAGTAAGGTTAGATGGAATGTCTTTGAAAAAACTCCCATGTTGAGTAATCTGTCTTGACAATGGGTGCATTAATCTAAGCGAAAATAATCTGCACAATGAATTCTTGAAATAGGCTTATTCAATAGGTTTGTGCACCTATTAAGTTTGTTACTCTCTCCGTCTCAAATATATTTATCGTGTTTCTCTTTTACACGTCTCTTAAATAATATTATGTGTTAGGAAGAGTTTTTGTATATTTTATCCTTGTTTATGAAGACATAATCTCTTTTTTATTCAATATTTACTCTATTTACGTGTCATCACCCCACAATTGAAACGTTTGTGTTCTCCTTAGGGTGTACATTCGGTTTTTCGGTTTGATTTTGCACTATTCAGTTTGGATTTTTCGGTTTTTGATTTTGTAAAAGTGTAACCCAATCCGATCCAAAATAAATTTGGTTTGGTTTGATTTTCCTCTATTCGGTTCATTTTTTTCGGTTTGGTTATTTGATTATGCCAACAATTAATAACATAACCAAAGTAATAATATCGAATCCCTTAAATATACTTTCTAATATAAATCATAGGGAAAATGCATAAGTACCCCTCCAGCCTATGCCCGAAATCCCAGAGACACACCTAACTTTTACTAAGGTCCTATTACCCCCCCCCCCCCGAACTTAATTTATCTATAATATTCTACCCCTTTTCGGCCTACGTGGCACTATCCTTGAAAAAAATGTCAACATGCGCTAGGCCCACAAGATAGTGCCACGTAGGCCGAAAAGGGGTAGAATATTATAGATAAATTAAGTTCGGGGGAGGGGGGGGGGGGTAATAGGACCTTAGTAAAGGTTATGTGTGTCTCTGGGATTTCGGGTATAAGCTGGGGGTACTTGTGCATTTTCCCTAAATCATAAGAAAAACTTAAAACACAATACTTATAAGTATATCTATTATAGATGTTCAAGCATAAAATATAAATGTAATCATCGTGAAAGGCAATAACCAAAAAGGGACAAAAGTGGTTAACTCCAACTTAATTCTAAACCTAAACATATATATATATAGATATAATTCGGTTTTTATTTTTTTAAATCTAAAACCAAACCAAAAAACCAAACAAAGTAATTTATTAATCCAAACCAATCCGAAAAAACCAAAAAACCAATCCAAATAAAAATTCGATTTGATTTGGTTTGGTTATTCGGTTTAACCCAAATAGTGCACACCCTTAGTTCTCCTACTAAGGGTAAAATTAAAAAAATAATATTTAACTTCTAAAATGACAAATAATTTGTGATAGCTATAACATACGAGCAAAAAGAGGTTAGAAAGAGTGTATCGAAAGATATGAGCAATATAGTCTTGGATATTATTAGTGAAATGAAAATACAAGCACCACATGGGAATAATAAACTACATGGTGAAAGTACCAGATTAGTCATCCTGATGAAGGAATAAGGAAATATTTACATAAATCAGAAACAGGAGAACAATCAACTCTTCTTTCAATATTGTTCTAGTGCATTGTGACAAGCACTAAACAGAAATCAGCAGCAGCAGCAACTCTGTTATCCTCTGCTTTTTGAATCACCTATGTCTATAAACTTTCAGCTGGAAATGAGGTTTTGCAAATTCAGTGTTACGGACATAATGGGCGAATTTGCGTTCCCATTGGAGACATTTCAAGTAAAAGTGTTCTTCATTCCCTGATTGCTGAAGGATCCAATAGGTTTGGCAAGAATGTGTGACATTGCTTTGACTGCAAGAGGATTGTTCTTGCTCTGTACCAACAAAAACAAAATCGCGTTAATAAAGGAAACCATCATATTGTGTGTCATACAATTACAAAGTAGGGATCACTTACAATTGAGCAGGTGCCGGCTTTAACATTGCAGACAGGATAATCATGTGGGCAGCAACTGTTATGGTCTTTACAGCAAGTAGCTCCTTCCATAGGGCAGCAACCCCAAGCAAAGCACATGTGATAGTACTCGTAGACACAGCAGCACGTTGTTCCTGATGGGCAACTGTACATATCATCACAAGTAGTGGGTGGCTTGACTGGCGATGGAGGAGATGGAGCTGGTTTCGGGGGATTTTGGCCTGTCTTAACAGGGTAAGAAGCACCTGTAGCAATACCACACAAACCCTTTGGGTTGGCAATGTTTCGCTGCATCCTGAGGTAGCCATGTTCTCCCCAGGAAGCACCCCACGAGTTCCTCACAATCCAATAATCCATGCCATTTTCGCTACCATATCCCACTGCAACCACACCATGGTCAACTGCTGCACCACATTTCCCAGAAAAGATGCCCTGCAGCACACGTAGATTCAAGATTTAAATTTAACATGTATATAACGTTCTTAACACTTTTTGAAATTATGGAAATATTTGTAGACTTTATAGTGACTTTTCACTTAAATGTTTTGTGCCTAAAATATTAGGTACCCATTGATCATGTCCATCTCAATCTACCTCTGAGGCATGAGAATATGATCATACAAAAAATCGTGTTTGGTTAGGTACGTAATTAGATCCTTGATTGAAACAAGAACACTACCTAATTCGATCAAAAGATATCTTTATAAACGACTAGGACAGTCTGAAGTAAAGATTATTTACCGATTTATAGTGCTGGAAGTCTTTGCCACCAGCTTCAATAGCAACGCTGACGGGTTGACTTGCAATAGCCTTTTTCATTGCCTGTTCATCATTCTTAGGAACATCTTCATATCCGTCAATGGTGACAACCTTGGCATTCTTCTGCAATTGTTTCAAACAAAAATTAAAAAAAATCTTTAATCGTCATAACTTGGTAAATTAGTTTCATTTCCAAGAATCCCTTAAAAGGCTCAGAATGATTAACTGACCCTTGTTTGGTCACATCTTCCATCCTTGCCAGTGTAGGGGTAATCTTCTTCAGTGTCTAGTCCTCCATTTTTTATAACAAATTCAAAAGCATAGTCCATGAGACCACCGTTGCAACCAGCGTTAGTAGAAGTATCACAATCTACCAGCTCCTGCTCCGATAACGAGATCGAATCTCCAGTCTTTAACTTGTTTACTGCTTCAATGACGGCAACTGCTGAGAAAGCCCAGCAACTCCCTGTTTCATTTTCCAAACGTGTAAATTAAATTACAGTTTCTACCAACATAGACATCGCAGAGCTAGAATTTAAACTTTAATTTTATTGGTCTAAATTCTAGGACAATGAAATCTAAGTATATTTAGTGATTTTTTAAATATAAATATAAAGTTTGAACAAGCAATTGAGTTTGGCCAGATCCATACATTGGCTTCTAGGCACCAGAAAAACACAGGTACCAACTAATTCTATTCAGAAGATGGGAATTTTACTTTTTTTTGTTAATTAGATCAAAATATTTGAAATCAAATGCTAGGGAAGTAGTCCAACGAATGGGAAACACTCATCAATTCCCTCTGTCCCATAATAATTGTAACATTTTGTTTTTTGAGAGTCAATTTGATCAATCTTTAAAATTAAATTTAATTAAATTGTAATTTAAAATTAAACTTAAGCTATTTAAAAACTATACTAAAAATACTATAAATTGCAATTCTTCTTATTTCAATACGAATTTAGAAATATAGTTCTAAACATAAGTTAAATTTTAAATAGTTTAGACTCTCGAAAAAATAAAACATGAATAATATTTGCTTAGAATATTTCCCATTGGGTCAAATAAATTGTTTCTCGAGTAGGAAGGAGAACACATGTACCCACTCGATTAGAATAGCATTAAAAATCTCCCCAACCCCATATGTACTTGTCACCTCCCCCACCAAAAGTGTAATTGGGAATGCTACCTAATCTTATATTATTTAAGAATAACAAATGGAATATTAGGTATGATAGAGTTGAGAAAATTAATTATTGAACCAATAACTTTAATTAAAAAAAAAAACAATTTTCTAACAAATACAAATTGCTTTTTATAAATATCCCTTAATAATTGCACATTCGAACATTACTTTTTACAATACAAATTAGTCACTGATGAGTAATAATAACATAGGCTTTTTCTGTAAAATATGTAGGTTGAACCATTTCCTCCTTCTAATATGTAATATGTATCTACTATTTATTATCTAATAATGAAGGATCAATTATACTATTTAATCCTTATTAGAGGTTTTTAATTCGAATTCTCAATAAGCAATCACATAGTGTTTTATTCACTGAGATTTTTTCGTATTAATTCAAATTAATGGATAATAATACTAGTAACAACAACAATAATAATAATAGGTCAAATCAATTGTCCATTGAGGTTCAGTCTATATAGCTAAGGTCTCACATGGATAGATAGGTTGACTCAAATATTTAAATAGATTGAATTAGTAAAGGATCTGTCCAAAAGTATTTGAATTGAAATGGCATAACTCAAGATGTGCTATTTTATTATTTAAATGGAGTAATATCTTCTCTTCGCACATCAAACTAAAAAAATTCACTAATTTGGGATTGGGTTAAATTTTTAGCACAGATCAACCCATCCAAAAATTGGATAAATCAA